CTAAAAGCTAAGTCATGGACACAGTGCTGCCCGTCATGATACCGAAAATTAGTCATCTGCCTCTGCCTAACTGTAGAGACAGTCCTGTTGGGGAGATGTGATTTGAGATTCCATCTGAGGAAGCAAATTATCTTGGATTGGCCCTCTTCCTTTCCATTTTGTTCTATACTGGTCAGCACTAATTTCTTGTTTTCTAGTACCCTACAAAGGGGCTCATTTTTAAGTATACAAGCTACTTTACACAAATTTTATCCTAACTCTGTTCATCCCTATATTTTCTTACTCTTTAGCCAGTCTCACAACTGGGGCAGCATGCATAGAGTCCTTTCAAAGTGTGGTATTCAGCTCAGAGTAGAGCCACTGAAATTAATTTAGTCATATTCATTCATTCCAGTGGTACTTCTCTGGGTAAAACTGAGTTGAATTCCCATCAATGTGATTAAAATTCTGCCAAGCACTCATTTAGGAATAGGGAGCTGAATTCAGTTCCCTTTCCTTCTTTCCAACCAAACACCTGATCAGCAGATTTAAAAATAAAAATCTATGCATGTTGCTTTGGAGCCACCATTGTGGCTCAGGACCAGATCTGAGGAATTGGAGAGCTCTGATTCTGAAGTCTCTTTCCACCATTTGGGGAAGGAAATCTCATGAAGCAGGAATTCTCTAAAAACCAGTTGGTGGGAATCATGTGGAGAGACTACTGTTGCACTAAGATCTGCTTTCAGACTTTCCATGATCACCTGGCTGGACTAGGTTGGTCTCCAGCTTGATCCAGCAGGGGTCTTCTTAAGCTCTTTCATTATGCTGTGTTGTTTTTTAAAAACACAAACAAAACAAAATGTTAACAAGGCACTGAAAAATGAACCTGACCATCATGAAAGGCACTGCAGAAAGTAATTGGCAGAAATATAGTTCTGCTGTGAAAGGGAAACAGTCGGGTAAAGCAGAAAGTTCAGGTTGTACACTGTCATCAACCATGTCAAATATTGCATCCTCACCACAGGTGGGACAATAGAACTACAGTCCATACCTGAGAGAATTGTGCTGCACTTGTGGATACTTTCTCGGAACCGGAAATAAATTAGCATCTTGCTAATTGAATCTTGCTGGCATTTTCCTTGTTGAATGGAAACAAAGTATTTAAATCGCTGGCAACAGGAATGATAATGGAATGTAACACTTTAAAAATAATTCACTGGAGTAAATGGATGGATTGTATTATCAGATTTAAAAGCTAAGTTTGAATAGTATATTTTCTTTCTTTCTTTCTTTCTTTCTTTCTTTCTTTCTTTCTTTCTTTACCACACATGAAAAGCTTTTCATTCTATTTTGTCTAATTTCAAATAGGATACCATGAGTGCAATGGCAAGTTGGTAAAATTAGATGTAAGATACTGGATTTGGGAACTGTAAGGTTTACCTGGATTGTTGTTGTTTTTAGTTGTTTTTAGTATTCCTTTATTTTTAAGACAAAATCAATGAGAGAGATATATACATACGGGAAAAGAGGCTGAATTAACCCGACAGATACCTTATTTGTATGTAAAGTAGATCTATTTTATCCTGACACTTACCGGTAATAAAATGTTTTTCGGGTGGTAAAAAATGTTCAAACACACAGAGGATTTCTCTGCAGTATTTCTAGTCGTTGGGTATGTTTCACCAATATTTTTACACTTCAACACCCATTATCTGGTGAATGTGCCATTAGGTGAGGACTTGCATATGTGAAAGAAATCAGCACCCACAGAGCACTGCTTTCTGTTACCTGACATCCCTTGCACAAAATGTTGTGCCCACCTCCCACTGAGACAGTTAACCGGTTCAGCTGAAGGACACAGAGGTTTGCGTGAGCCAGTAATGAGATGTCAAGTAGTGCCGGTGCCTGAGTGAATCAGCCCTGAACTAATGCCCTTTATATTTTTACACACAGCAGCACATACACGCTCATGCTCTTTATAAACAAGACTGAAATGGTTGGGTTGAACTATTTAAAGGTCAGACCATTACAGAAAACCAACTGGCCAAGTGGTCAGGCTTTCTACCATGGAATTGTTCAGTCTGAGTTGATGGAAACCAGGTGATATTTTATTTCTTGCTGCAGATTCTAGTCTACTTGAGAAAGCCTTTGATCTCAAGTAAGGTTTCCTGACATTTACTTGGCCAACCTGGTGGTGGGTTGGTTGTCTGAACTCATCCAAACCCACCCTCAGTTTCTGATTATGCCGCCTCCTGTGATTCTTGGCACCAAACCCATTACTTGCAGCTAAATAAACAGTAGCAGATGTCAAAAGCACTCAAGGCTGGTATTTTTCTCCTACATAAGTGCTAGTCGCTTAGTGTTATTCATGACATATTGACTCATTGCTTTGGCCAGAATGACATCTTGAAGCAAAACTGGGCATGGGATTGCTTTGGTCAACAGAACTTGAGTTATTTTTGAATTCCCTCCTTCCAAACAGTGTTCAATTATGTTGCTTATAAATGGACCAGGGGTTTAATCACTGATAATTAACCACTATTTACTTGCCATCTTTACATGAACATCAGGACACCTGCAAACTATGTGACAAAAAAATTAAGTTGTTATTGGTCATTTCCCCCTTCATGACACATAGGCTAAAATGATAAAAGTGTCTCCACATGTTAACAGTGTAAGCTACTGCATAATGAAAATCACTTTGTTTGACATTATATTCTACCCCATTTCTTTAAACTATAGAAGTAGCTTATCCCAGCTATCAGTAGGTTAGGTAGTTGTTAATGGAGTTAACTTGGGGGAGGGGGCATGGTGGGGTATCCCTTACCACAACTCTGTGAGGAAATATTCTGAGAGTGATTGACTGCTCCAAGGTAAGCAAATGAGCTTTTTGGATGAAGACCTGGTTTTCCTGCATCCAGATGCAACGCTCTAACCACAACACCACACTGGTTCTCCTTTTCTTCAGATCTGGGAGCTAACCACTTGGTGAATAGGCATAGCTTGCATATGGAGTACATTCAGGAGGTTCCAGGTTTAATCCCTGACATGTAGGGCTTGAGTAGGGCTGAGAGAGACTCCTGTCTGAAACCCTGGAGAGAAACTGCCAGTCATTGTAGACAGTACTGAGAAACCTGGACCAGTGGTCTGACTTGGTATAAGGCAGCTTCTTATGTTTCTGTGTTGAGAAGCGGACGCTACTTCACAATACTTACTTTGCCACACAGATATTTGGAGGGAAATCACCACACAGTGGCTTTTCCAGCTGAAAAATCAGTGCTGTGTGGTTCTACTTCTGTAACACAGACATTGTCTCAACCAATGAAGCTTGTTTATATGTCTTTATCTATATCTATATCTGCATGCAAAGAGAAACCAGACTTATTTACCTTGGGGCATGATTTTTCACTTTAGGCAAGAAAGAAGCTGACCAAATTCCCAGACCAGTCCATGGCCCTGAGGAAAAAGACACCAAACCTTGTAGGGAAGAGGTCATAGCTCAGTGGGAGAACACATGACCTGCATGCTTAGGGTCCAGAGTTCAATCCACCGTATCTTCACTTTAAGGATCTTAAATAGGCAGATATCTCTTTTTCCTAAGCTTGAAGAACCCTGTTAGTCAGAGCCAGACTGGAACTAGATGGACCAGTCATCTGATTCACACTATTAGGCAGCCATGTATGTTGAGACAAAATCATACGCCACATTATGGCCTGTGATTCAGCATATGGAGCTGAATTTAGGAATTGGGAGCTGTGAGTAGCATAAAAAATTAACCAATACTTTTAATACTCTGGGTTATCCTTCTCATTTAGTTACTACATGCTGAGACATATATGCTAGGAAAGTGTTACTGTTGTACCAATGATATATAATTTTCTTTTCAAAAACAGCTTGAAGGATTGCCCCACGCCTCCATAGTTCTTCTCCGAGTCCATAATAAACCATGCACTCTTGACATGAGCTGCACAATAACATGAATAGAGAGAGAATTCAATGAATCCAGCAGATGTTTAATGGTCAACTTCACTGGGAAGTCTTTGGCTTCTGATCTCCCTGATTCTCAGGAACCGTGTCCTAATTTTAGTAAAGTCCTTCTGGGTCCAATGGGCATATAACAAACCAAAATAGCTTGCCTACAAACCTGAGAAGATTTTTCTGCTGTATCCTGAACTTTGAGTATTTATTCAAATGAGTTTTCCAAGCACAGAGGATGAGCAGAATCAGGTTTCAGGCTTGTGGGATTTGCTTTGTGTTTTTTTTCTAGAATCCTAGGATTCACCTACTGGAGCCAGGTACAAAAGACATACTCTTTGGCTGTGTACACATTACTGGTGTTTGCTGTGGCTCTGGAGCACTCCTACCCCTGGCTTTTGAGTCCGTGTACATATGGTGTTACCCACGATGCAGAGCTATCCTGCAGTTTCTTGAGAAACATTGCTGTTTGGTTTGTTTCCACCCAAACCAGCTTTGATCTGAAAGGAAAAATAGGCCACATTCACTTGACAGTTAAGATGAGGCGTGTACACTTGAGACAGCCATTACACATGCCAGAGGTGCCAACTTGCACCAGAGATTGAGGGGGCCCAGGGAGGTGTGCTTGTGATGACACATGTGTGATGCCATATCATTGGGAGGAGGCTGAGCATGGCTTCAATGGCTGGTGGCTCCTCTCTCATGTTTGGCCTCCTTCCATGATAGGAGGAGGAGGAGCTGGCTACTGAAGCCATGCCACACTCAGCTTTGCACTCAGCTTCCTCTGCCCCCTCCCAAAAGATATTGGAGGCCCCAAGACAGCTCCACCCCATGATTTGACATAAAGCATACTCTGTTGGTGTAGATTTTAATAGCACTTAAAAAAAAAGATAATCTGCATATTATTAGGTGCTGTATTGACTGACTTTTACTCTTAGCTCATAGGAGATTATTCACAAAGACCTTTTAATGCAAGGATGTGGAAATTCTGGAGAGTCATGTGTGCTGCAGTTCCAAAGATTCATTATAGACAAATTTCTCCCTAGAAACATCAAGAAGAATTGAAAATGGCAAGTGATCAGTCTGCTTGCTATCACTGCATGGTCTCCCTTTGCGGAAAGAGATACGCCACGAAAGAAGACAATGCTTACTGTGTGAAGTGCTACGACAGCCTGTTTGCTAACATCTGTGAAGAATGCAAGAAGCCCATTGAATGTGACTTCAAGGTAAGTGTTGATTTGTTCCAGAAGCAACACTGTTCCAGTGTTATTCCAAGCTTTGTGGAAATAGTACATATAGAGATCATAGGGGCACATGTGTTGCCCTGCCTTCAATGTCCCAGTCGGTTCTCCCCGTCCCAATGCAGGAAAGCCTGAAAGATATTTCTAAGAGCAATCAGCTGAATGTTCTTAGAAACTTTCCTGCAATTGGGAAGGCTGCGGTGATCGTGAGGGTGGGATCATAGGCATGTTCAGCTGAATGCTGAAAGAACCCTGTACAGATCTTCCCACAGCCAGACACCACTGACCTAGTTGGGGCCTTCAAATACCTAAATAGAGCTACACTTTCCACATGGAGCAGAGTTCTGGGTGTTTGCTGAATGCTCAAAATCAGCAGTTAAATATAGAAACAGTTAAAAAAATTATTTCATTTTATTTATTTACTATTAGGAGTATTAACTACTACTATGTAGTTACTAGGAAGCAGTCAGGTCCAGGGGTCTGCTACCTTGAAAACTTCAGGATTATTCCTCCTAGCAAACTTCATTAGCTCATGCCTGCCATGTTGGAAGTGACAGGAAAGAAGAAAAGGGGCTCCTCATTTATTGAAAACCACCCACAGGCTTTAAAAAAATGTTTTCATTCAACTCAGACATGAATCTACCATGATCAACAACTAATGATTGTGAGCCATGAAACTATGCTCCTTTTCTGACATAAGTGTGGGGCAGCAGATGAAGTAGAGACTTTGTTTGGAGGGGTTCTGACTGCTCCTGTGTTGCTTGTGACTCGCCGCTGCCCAAGATATAGCACTAGTATTCATTCTTGTTAGATCGGAGATGAGGTTTGAATGGTGAACTGACTGAAGTGCTTGTCTACAGAATAAGGCTGAGGCATTGATATCTACACCAGATTACCTGCACACAAACATACTCACCCAAATCCATAGATCGGTATAATGCATCCATAGATATAGACAGGAAGGAACAAAAAAAAGAGAGTATATTATTATTAGTTGGGTGGAGGGGTAGGTTGTATGTCTGAGCCTCCTTCTAATTCCTGGACCCAGCACTGCTTCAATTCCTGGCATAGCCAGGTTAGCTTCCTGGTAAAGTACTGGCCCACTAATTATGGGCCATAAGCTAACAAATAAAGGTAAAGGTCAAGTCCATTAGGTCCAGTCGCGGACGACTCTGGGGTTGCAGCGCTCATCTCGCTTTATTGGCCGAGGGAGCTGGCATACAGCTTCCAGGTCATGTGGCCAGCATGACTAAGCCGCTTCTGGCAAACCAGAGCAGTGCATGAAAACACCGTTTACATTCCCACCGGAGTGGTACCTATTTATCTACTTGCACTTTGACATGCTTTCAAACTGCTAGGTTGGCAGGAGCTGGGACCGAGCAATGGGAGCTCACCCTGTCATGGGGATTCGAACGACCAACCTTCTGATCGGCTCTGTCGTTTACTCAACAGAGTGGCAAATGGGGGGGGGGGCTCTCTCAACTCGCTGGTATGTAGAAAGACAAAGGCCAGAGGTGAGACTTGATTTTTGTGAGCTAGAAGCTAGAAGCAAGGCTGCAGACTGGGCAGCTGGGAGACAGAACCATGCCTGCTGGAATCCAAGACCGTGGCTATGGGAGAAGCAAGACCCCCTTGGGGTTTTAATGCTGTGAACCCCTCTGTGTAGGCTCAGGTGGTATATATGTATAAATAAAGCACATATCATAAAATAACACCACAGTCTCCACTGTCCCTCATTCCAAAGGAAACACAAACCCTGGGTAAGCGCCTGGAACCCCTGGGATTTTGCACTGCTCAGAGATTGGGGTGGTGCACAACAATATAACCTGTGACATTAAACTTCTGTAGATAAATGCAGGTTTTTAATAGTTTGCAGGCTCCCTACAGACCCAATGGGATGGGTTTCATCCATCATTTGAATTCAGCAGCTTAATATAGAGATTTTAAACTGCATTAACCCTCAGAGTAATGTCTTCGCTTCTTTAATATCTGGGTTTAAAAAGTTGGGGGGGGACCCAGTAAGTTGTATTATTTTAACAATTCATTCCAGAGAGATTTCCTTTTCTAGCCTGGGCTTAATTCAACTGATAAGATCGAGGGAAACCTTAAAATAAATTCCACTGACAAATAACCAGTGAAAAATGACTTCCCCTTGGTCTGTATTACAGACAGCCTCCCCTGTAACTGCTAAGATTCGCAGGGAAATAAATGGCATTCATCATTTTTATGTAATAACACTGTCTCCGCAAGCAAGATATCTCAAGAAAAGATGTGTTTGGATTAAAATATTTTATTCGCCAAATGACAACTTCATTTTGTTGTTTATCTCCTAATGCCTCCTCACTCATCACAGAAATAGCATCTTAGTGGCAAATGGGGATGATCAAAAGGAAACAAAACTTCACGTCTTTGGGCTTCATCTTTTCTCTCAGAACTCAGGCAGAACTTTTCATGAAAACTATGCACACCACAGTGGGATGTGTGTATAGAGATTTGTTCCTCCTTTAATTCCTCATAAAGCACAACTCTGTATAGGAAAAATGAGTATATTAAATGTATTGTACACAAAATATCACAATATAACATGTACTAATACTCTGATTGGTATGAGATCTCTCTCTCTACACACACACAGAGTCTCTGGTCAATCTTTAAGTGATATATGATATATATAATCCTACAAATTACGGTACTATTCAATGTCTCCGCATCCGAAAGTTCAACTATATTGTACTGAAGTCCAGAGTGTAGATTCTCTGTGTTAAATCTTGTAGTTGAAAAACTGCTTATGAGGAGGACTCCAACAACGAAATATCCAGGTAAAATCCTGTCACCCTTCATCAAGTCAGTCTAAGTACATTGCTAAATGATACATGACATGCTGTAAATGACTCGTATAATACAATCTTATATGAGGAAAAAACCCACCTAATGTGATCCAAAATATTCAAGTGTTTTACTTACATATGCAGGCAACTTAATGCTCAACAATTAGGTCAGCTCCCACCTTGCGAGGGCGCTCAGCTCCTGGTGAAATGCTGACTCAGATACTAATTCTCCCGGGGTGGAGATTTAAAGGGACCATAGCATTCCATCACACTCTGGGATAGCATACAGTAAAAATCACAGGAACAACTCACAAGAAACTACTCCAATCCAGACTGAGATTTAGACCTTTGGGGATGACTGTATTCAGATGGGAAATCCATCTGGCTTCCAATTGCAACATAACCTTTCTTACATCTGGTCTTCTGTATGGGTGTGGTTTATACACTTATATACATACGCACATGGGTATGACACTCCTTTCTATACGAATCAGGATTTTAGAAGATATGTCCAGAATTAGACACAAAAATTTGGAGGCACCTATGGTACAAAGCCACATACAACACAGCCACACTGGTGAGGAGATATGCTTTTGTGGTTCTACAAGACAATACACCAAATTACAGCCCATTTCCCTAGCACAAATAGAAGAGGCAGTTTTCCCTTTCTTACTCCATTGACCTGAGAGTGACTCCCACTGAATTCAATTTTGCAGAGACGTGGTTCAGATTGCAGGCTTTTCCAAACAGTCCCTTTCATCCTGTGCTAGCTCAGATAAAGTATGCAGCTTGAGGGTAGACAAGGAAGAAAAGGTCAGAAAACTTCCTCCGATGTGGTTAAACTACAGAATATTCTGTCGCCCTGCAGGTCATTTTTGACAATTATTCCGAAACCAATGGCTCATAGCGCCTTCTGATTTGATTGTATCCAACTGGTGTTTTTTGGGGGGGCGGTGTTTAAAGGAAGCACCTGCTTTTTATTAACATGCATTCATTGTCTCTCAAAGGATCTTGCTTACAAAGGCTGCCACTGGCATGAAGCGTGCTTCAAGTGTGCCAAGTGCCATCAGTCTTTGGTAGAAAAGCCTTTCGCTGCCAAAGATGAGCTCCTGCTGTGTACAGAGTGTTATTCTAATGAGTATTCATCAAAGTGCTTCCACTGCAAGAGGACCATTATGCCTGGTAAGATAACAAGGAGCTTTTGCTAACGAAATAAATAGGGTCGCATGGCAGTTTTAATTAATTTTGAACACTGGTCTAGTGGAGCTCAATAGGCAGAAGTACGATTAAGGTGAAACTCTCTTCTTCAATCCAAGGGCCTTTTCAGATGAATGCTTCATTTTTACAGGTGTTGCACATTCCTTATTTGCTATTTACTGTCCAATTCACCCACCTGTTGCCATTTCACCTTTTGCCATTTTACCTCCCCTTTCTTCTTTTAGCTTTTAGGAATGTGATTAGGTGAGTTTTATGGAGAGCTACTTATGCAGATCCACATCGTTTTGTATGTCTTTTTCCTGAAAGATTTGTTTCAAAATGAAAGCTACTTTCCCAGGAGCTGAGCACTCCCCATTGTACCACTCCAGTGGGATCCTAAATATCCTTAAATTTAAAAAGGAAATAAACCTTTTTTCTCTCCAAAAAATGCTTTTGGGTGTTGTCCTATTCCACTTGTGACACAAATAGACATTGGGATCCCATAGCCTGGCTGCTTCCTGTGGCAAGGTTTCCTTATTCGGAATCGCAAAACCTTCATTGTGCCTCCAAATCTTTTTTTTTTACCTTAAATTATGGGCATGCCTTTCAGTCACAAAATGGAGTCCCAGGGAACCACTGGCCGGTGGATTCTTTCTCAACTTTTCTTTTTTTGAGCAGCATTTTCAATTGAGCCACCCATCTCACACATGGCTTGTCCCTCTATTTTATAAGACTGATGCATTCCCCATTGCACTTCCTCCAGAAGAAAAGTTGTGGGGGCTCTGGATCCTATCCGCCAGCTCTGACAATTGTGAGTAACAGGTGCTCTGCCACAGTTCTTTATTCAGCCAGAGCATAGGCAGCAATCAGCAATTCCTGCTATGCAGAGTGGGAGTACAAATTCAGGCTTGCATCTGAGACTGAAATGTTGTCACTGAATAATTCAGACCCATTCAAAGCCAGAGTTCTGGCCAGGAGTCCAAAATGGAAATGGAAATTTTAATTATGTACTAAATTGCCAGATTTGCATCAAATTTTGCCTATACAAAAAATATTCGACAGATGCCCTAGTGCAGGGGTAGCCAAGGTGGGGCCCTCTAGAATGGTTGGTTGCTTATAAGTCACTTTGGGTTGCCTTGGGCAAGATAAAGCAACTAACAAATTTAATTAGGTAACCGGTAAAGGTACCCCTGCCCATACGGGCCAGTCTTGACAGACTCTGGGGTTGTGCGCCCATCTCACTCAAGAGGCCGGGAGCCAGCGCTGTCCGCAGACACTTCCGGGTCATGTGGCCAGCGTGACAAGCTGCATCTGGTGAGCCAGCGCAGCACACGGAACGCCGTTTACCTTCCCGCTAGTAAGCGGTCCCTATTTATCTACTTGCACCCGGGGGTGCTTTCGAACTGCTAGGTTGGCAGGCGCTGGGACCGAGCAACGGGAGCGCAGCCCGCCGCGGGGATTCGAACCGCCGACCATGTGATTGGCAAGTCCTAGGCACTGAGGTTTTACCCACAGCGCCACCCGCGTCCCTTAACAAATTTAATTAACAACTGCAAAACAATAGATGTTGTGAACAACTCCTGTCATCAAATACCACCCACGTCCCTTAACAAATTTAATTAACAACCGCAAAACAATAGATGTTGTGAACAACTCCTGTCATCAAAGACCATTTGCCATGTTGCTGGGGCTGATGGGATTTGTAGTTCAAAAACATCTGGAGAATACCATTGACTTGGCTGCCCCAGAGTAGTAGAGCATGCTATGATAATTATTTGTATCATGTCCCAAAATAGCCATTTCTGTGTTACATAACTATTGTGTGGTGGTGCTACAAGGTTGCAACTGGACTGGAGAGAGTGAATGTTTTCTAGCAGATGGGCACTGAAACATTCTGCCACATATAAGCTATTATCCAAACAACTGGCCCTAATTTCTGATTATTTTGTCTAATAACATACCATTCAAGATATTGATTATCTATAGAACAATTCAGAAATCCGATTCGCAAATCAATCCACCTTACCAAAATTAATAAATAAATGTTAACACATTTGGCAAGATTTCCTCAGCATGGGAAACAAGTGTGACAGATCCAGTATTTTAAATTTTAATACGCTGGACACTAGTAGCAGTCACACAATTAAATTAGTATGCTTAATGTTAAATCTGTCTAAGCTGTACTTATGGTCCCTTCTGAATAAATTGGAAGACCAATGTGACTGTGGTGGAATCTATACACAAATTTTTAAAAAAACACTGTGAAAGTGCTTTTTTTAAAAAGTGTTTTGAAAAATATATTGAATTAGCCATAAGCTCACCATCGCCATCTAATGTCATATTTGTATAATGCACTTAAAACACACCTAAGACGTTATATTTGCAGCTGTATAGCTGAGTCCTGTGAGTTGATTTAGGAATGGGATTTGGCAGCTGAATTTAGACAACTATGGTTGAAGGTATGAAGCACTGATAGTGATAGGTAGCTAGTTTCTTTTAATTCAAGCAGCCTAGTCAGATGCAATCAGAAGGGTCACAGAGACAGTGGGCAGTGCAGAGATGTGAGAGCCAAACTACATGTGATACCATAAAGTCTGGCATAGAAGCATCACTGGATTTCACAACTTTTCAAAATTTTATTGAGGTACCCATACATCCCCACCGTGAGCCCAGTACCAGCCTCAGGGGAACATTTAGATTGGGGGAGCAGTGTAGGCACAAAGGACTAAGACCGTCCATCTACCCTGTGCCACTTCTCCAGTAAACCCCAGAGAACCCCCACAACTACTAAAAAAATGCAGGAGGTTTGGACTCTTGCATTCTTTGTTGCTTGGTTCTGATACAGAGATGTGATGGCAACCTTATTTTTGGCTGCTTGTTTCACAGCAGAGTTTTATTTCAGCTTATCGCATATATACAGCAATTTTCCTCTACTACTAATCAACTAAAAAAAAAAGGAGGATAATAGGCTTGCTAAAAATTGTTTATTGGTACAGGTAAAGTACAGTGATGAAATAATTTGTAGACCCAACATGAAGCTAAAATGGAATAATGCAGTGTTGACACTTTCCAGCATAAGATACGAGAGTCTTGAAAAGGAGTTTTATGCTTCCCAGGACCTGGAGCTGATTAGAACCTCATTGTTTTCATTATACTTACCCTATATTCAATTACCACTTGTACAAAACAGCTATTTTCCTGAACTGCCTTCCTCCTCTCTGTGTAAAGCTTCCCCTGTGCTGCGATTTCAAACCATGCTATTTCAAGTCCTTGAAGAGGAGGTGTTGGAAAGTCTTGGTTAACTAATGTCTTTGCATTTATTTTCAATAGTCAATTGAAAATATTTTCCATTATTATAGTATTCCATTTATGCTAAACTTAGAAAACAGCTCAGGATTAGAAAAACTAGCTGCAAAATGTTGCTGATTTACTTAAGCTCCTGATTTTTACCTAAAACATTGCTGTACAGACCAGAACGAGGACAGGGATGTCTACACCCAAGGTCCATTTCTTGATTTGCTTCCCTGCAACAAACTCCAATTCACTGAAGCTGTCATCTGTGTGTCTGCTCTCATCTGCACACACATCATCATTCGCACATGTGCAATGGCTGTCTCAAATGTACGCACCTCAGTTTAACCAGGGCTTCTGCGGAAATTGATTTGAAGGAAAGCACATCACACCAGAGTATTTTTCAAGATGCTGCAAGATACCTATGGACTGTGACTGACGTCAAGTTTCCTCAGCTTCAAACACCTGTGGTGGGTGTATGCTTGAGGCAGAATAAAGCAGTAATGCGTACATAGACTTAGAAGAAAATTTGTTGAAACAAATATGGCAAACTGCAAAGACCTCCACATGTATTATTACCGGTATGTCTTTCCCTATCGGACATATTAATACCTTACCTCCCTATATCTTATTTTTATGTCCTTTGATTAGTTTTGAGATGGCCATTTCACTTTGACATTAAAACTTGAATTTAACCATGAGTTTCTGTGCTTGGCTGAACTGGGGCTGTTGTGCTATAATTGATAATGAAGAAATAATGTCCTAACCATACTGTTTTAGCACAGTTTTTAATACAGCATTCCCAGCCGGCCAATAATCTGTCAGGTTTCATGATTGGTTTTGCAGGTTCTCGCAAAATGGAGTTTAAAGGAAGTTGTTGGCACGAAGCTTGCTTTGTTTGCCAACACTGTCGGCAACCGCTAGGGACAAAGCCTTTGATTACCAAGGACAACGACAATTATTGTGTGCCTTGTTTTGAGAAGCAATTTGCTCAGTGTTGTTACTCCTGCAAAAAGGTAATTGAAGCAAATGAAAAATACTGGGGCAGTGGGGGTGGAGAGATAGGTGATCACAATGAACTTCACTGTCCATTCCACAAACAGGGGGTTGTCATTTGTCCACAAAGGAGAAGCAGACACTCTTGGTGACAGCAGCCACCCTCTGCAATGCACTCCTTCAGATAATTCATGAGACCATAATTACCTTTAAACCCCTCTTCATATTAAGCAGTATAACGTTTGTTAACAAACCAAAAAATATTCTTTCTTACAATGACCCTGATGCAAACATCCTCCGGTTTGATAGAATTCACTGCCAAGAGATGGGAGGAAGCAGATACTCTGAATCTGTTTCCATTGTCAAAATTACATGCGGTGAACAGGTGTGCAGAAGGTGAATGCTAATAGCACCAACAATGCATTCAATGGTGCATTTTACATTTCAGGAGCACCTTATGGGATACAAGATGGGTGCCCCCCCCCAAGTCATCATTTAGTGCAGCATTTCCCAACTTTGGGTCCCAGCCATCAGACCCAGTGGTGAGGGATGTTGGAAGTTGTAGTCAACAACATTGGAGGACACAAGGCTGAGAAAGCCTAATCTAGGAGGCACAGGTGTGTCATTATTGGGAATAAGTCCCATTTGACACAATTAGCCTTCTGAATGGACATATATGAGATTGTATTGTTAGAGAGATAATCATATGAAGGCTTCAGTCCTAAAACCACTTATTAGGAAGTAGTCCATTGGGCACAGTGGGACTTCTGATTGGCATACATTGGATTGTCTTGAAAGTATGCTTCAGCTGTCCATCTACCCACGCAATTCCACAATATAACACCAAGCCAGAGCCCTTCTGTTTAAGTATACTTCTAAAAATCTCAATGTTGCATTTCCTGTTGGCAGTCCAGCAGCCTCTTATCCATTTCTCCTTTACAACCAGCAGCTGTTTCTGTAGAAATAGTCTCAGAGCCAACCCTGTTGGACATTAGTAATAGAAAAGAAAATAATTCTTCTGAGCATGTGTAGAGTGCCTTTTCCCCTTGCTGCAGAGACCCGGAGTGACATTTTCCTTGATCGTGGGGTGACTCCCAAGTACGCTGGATATTCAGCATCCTTCTCTTTTTATAAATTAACCAAGGAAGTGTGGTGCTTATTAACCTTTGGTTTTGTACTTAATGCCCAAGTTCAGCATCTGACTACAAATGCTCCTTTATCATCCAATAGGTGATAACTGCTGGCGGTGTGACCTATCATGACCAGCCTTGGCACAAAGAATGCTTTCTGTGTACCGGATGTGAGAAGCAGCTGGCAGGGCAGCGGTTCATTTCCAAAGATGAACATCCCTACTGCCTTGAGTGCTTCAGCAGGCGCTACGCAAAGAAGTGTGTGGCCTGCACCAAGTCTATTACAGGTAACTGTTGACTACCCAACTGACAAAATACAGTCCATATTTTGATGGTCATTATGGCAGAAGCAAGCCTCCTATATAATCATTGGCAGCATTTGTGCTCCTTATTGCTGACGGATGAGCACAGGGTGCTAAAATTATTTATGGTGAATTGGAGAGCAGTACTATTACCGCAGGACATTTATATGATCATGAGAAAGTGGCCCTGTTGCCACAATTCTTGAGCTGTAATGAGATTCAGGCTCAAACGAAATGTTACGGTACATAACAAAATATTGGCCACATGCCTAGTTCCCTCTTTCGTCTCCGTAAGATCTTGCATAATTTATTTGCTATCACAGCACCCTGGTTCATATCCAATGCTGCTGTTCTCTGGTGCATGTAGCAGAATTTTCTCCCTTCTACCCTTTCCCCTGCAGCACCCTGAATACTCCCAAAATCTGTCCCATGAGATTAGAGGACCCTTTGGAGCAGATTTTGAAGGTGCTTAGAAGAGAAGGAGCAGAAGTCCCATTACACAGGCATAACTCTACGCAAGCAGTGCTGAATACACTATTCTATGTTTAGTGACTCTACCAGTGGTAGTCAACAATTGGCAGCTGGAATGGGAAAATACAGGATTTTGCAACATGGATACATTGGACTACATTTTAGGGAGGGGGAGGGAGGGAGAAGCTATACAGTTGCTGCTCATAGCTGTCAACTTTTCCCTTTTCTTGCGAGGAATCCTATTCGGAATAAGGGAATTTCCCTTAAAAAGGGGGGGAAGTTGACAGCTATGTTGCTGTTGTCAGCAATGGGTGTCTGCATGTTGTATGAACTACAGTGGTACCTCGAGTTACAAACGCCTCAGGTTACAAACGCTTCAGGTTACAAACTCCACTAACCTGGAGGAATTATCTTGAGTTGAGAACCTTGTCCCAGGACTTTCGCCCTTTTAGTTTTGTTCTGATTGTATTCACTTTAACTGCAAATAGATAGATGATAGATGGATAGATAGATAGGTGATAGATAGGTGATAGATAGATAGATAGATAGATAGATAGATAGAGATAGATGATAGAGATGATAGATAGATAGATGATAGATAGATAGATGATAGATAGATAGATAGATAGATAGATAGATAGATGATAGATAGATAGATAGATAGATAGATAGATAGATAGATAGATAGATAGATATAGATAGATGATAGATAGATAGATAGATAGATAGATAGATAGATGATAGATAGATAGATAGATAGATAGATAGATAGATAGATAGATAGATAGATAGATGATAGATAGATAATAGATGATAGATAGATAGATAGATAGATAGATAGATAGATAGATAGATAGATAGATAGATAGATGATAGATAGATAGAGATAGATAGATGATAGATAGATAGATAGATAGATAGATAGATAGATAGATAGATATAGATAGATATAGATAGATATAGATAGATGATAGATAGATAGATAGATAGATAGATAGATAGATAGATAGATAGATACATGATAGATAGATAGATACATGATAGATAGATAGATAGATAGATAGATAGATAGATAGATAGATGATAGATAGATAGATAGATAGATGATAGATAGATAGATACTAGTGAAAAAATGATTAATTCACCCCGGGCCTTTGGGAACTGAATGGCCAGGGACCCACCAATTGTAAATATTAGATTGTAATTTTAGTACACTAGTTGATGGTTTTAGATTTTTTTATGGCACTGTGAAGCATTTAGTGATGATGAGATGATTTTAATTATATTTCATGCTGCTCTGGGCTCCCAGTTGGGAGAAGGAGCAATATAAAAATCAAATGAATAAACAAACTAAAAATAAACTCACAAGATGGTTGTGGAGGATAAAAATGGAAGAGGAAACTGCCTATGTTCCTCTGAACATATTGGGGAAAGGTCAGGTCCAAGATGAATTCTTTAGGAGGAGGGCCCAAGTTCAGTGGTGGGGGATCTGTCTTACATGCAGAAGGTCCAAGGTTCAATCCCAAGCATCTCCAGACAGGGCTTGGAAGGACACCTTGCCTAAAACTCTGGCGAGCTAATCACTGTAGACAATATTGAACCAGATGGACCAATGGCCTGATTCAGTGTAAGGCAGCTCCCTGCGTTCCCATGTTCCTGTGAGAATAGCAACACCAATGCAGTTACCATGGTAAGTAAGTGGCGCCGCCGAACATGGCCTTGTTTACATCCACATTTTGGGTCAAAGAGTATGAGTGCAAAAGGAAAGGCATCTATTCCCAGCCTCTGAAAAACCAAATAACCAACAAAATACACAACTGTTTAAAGCAAAGCAAAATCTAAATGAGTCATCCTCCCCTTTCCAATTTCTAGTACACATAAACACATTAAGCAGCAGTTGGAATTGTTTTAAGGGTGCCATGGTAAGAGCCTGTGATCTGGGGAACCCTAGCATTGCCAAGCATCCTATGAAACTCTGGCTGGCAGGTGTGTCTGTTATTCTCTCTGCAATGAAAGACGTAGCAGGCATTTTCTGTGTGTCATGCTCGAATCATTTAGCTTCACCTTCATATTTCCAGAATTGAAGAACAGATCTTGCCAGAAATAGAACACTGCTTTCAAGATTTGTGCTTAAATGGCTTATAATTAAATGTTTGGCAAACACAGAGAGGCTATTTAAAAGTACTCTAAGACCATTAGCTGGATCCTTTTAAAAACAAATTGAATGACCTCTTGTCCCAGTTCTGAAGAGTAACACTGCCAATTAATTACTGATCCCGTCATTCAAAGAAAGAAACAAAACTGATGGGAAATTCAATCAGCCATAACCTTTCTCTCTATTGCATATGTGAGTTCACACACACAGCAGCCCCTGGAATTTCTTCTACAGGCATAATTAATTGCAAGCAATTAAGCACCACCTTTCCACAGCTCCATAAAAATGTGCCTTTTAGGCCAATTTATGTGTTAGGGACGCGGGTGGTGTTGTGGGTTAAAGCCTCAATGCCTAGGACTTGCCGATCGAAAGGTCGGCGGTTCGAATCCCCGCGGCGGGGTGCGCTCCCGTCGTTCGGTCCCAGCGCCTGCCAACCTAGCAGTTCGAAAGCACCTTCGGGTGCAAGTAGATAAATAGGGACCGCTTACCAGCGGGAAGGTAAACGGCGTTCCGTGTGCTGCGCTGGCTCGCCAGATGCAGCTTCGTCACGCTGGCCACGTGACCCGGAAGTGTCTGCGGACAGCGCTGGCTCCCGGCCTATAGAGTGAGATGAGCGCACAACCCTAGAGTCTGGCAAGACTGGCCCATACGGGCAGGGGTACCTTTACCTTTACCTTTACTTTTATGTGTTAGATTTATAATTCACAGTATCCAACAAATATGGTGAACTGTTAAATCCATAGTAGAATAAGGCTATGAGTATTGAACTAGGTGGGCCTTAGGTCTGATCCAGTAGGACTCTTCTTATCTTCTTACGTATACAAAGCAGTGCGTACCTGTGGATATGCATCCTGAATTAAAAAGGACAAGGCAGCTCAGGGAAGCTGGCTTAAAATGTGCACATTGTTGGTCCCATAGTAGCCATTTCTGAACCTCAGAAATACCGTATTTTTCGTTTTATAGGATGCACCCGACCATAGGACGCACCTTGTTTTAGAGGGGGAGAACAAGAAAAAAAATTCTCCTCCTCTCTGCGCAGCACCCCTTCAGCGAAGCAGCAGGAGGAAGAAAAGCCCCTTCCTTTTCTCCTGCCGCTTCGCTGAAGGGGCACTGTGCAGACATCTCCCCTCAGATTTTAAGAGGGAAAAAGTGTGTCTTATGGAGCGAAAAATACGGTATATACCGTATCGGCCTGAATATAAGCCTGACTTTTTTTTCTGAATTCCGACCATGAAAAGTTAAAGCACTGCTTAAATTCGCGGCCTTACAAAAATTGGCTATTACGATATCACTGCTGTAACAACGGTAAAAAGGAACGGGTGTGAGTGCCTGCAGAATTTTAAGGGAGTGGCTTATATTCGGGCCAATACAGTAGTTGTGTCAGCATCTATTAGTGTAGTACATGTCAAAACATGGACCCTTCAATGAATTGAGGGTGGCCGTAGACACTTTGCTGCCTGAGGTGGAATTGCAAATGGTGTCCCTGCCCCCAACCAGGCCAAGGTGCATAGTTCCAAAGACCCATCAAATTATTTTGGCGCCATGAGACAGAGACTCCCAAAAGCATTGTCTCCATACCTGGTAGTAAAGAATACAACAAGAATATTATGTATCTGATGTTTTGCTGCGTTTTCATCACAAGTCAATTGCCTGAGGAGGACACCTCAATCTACCTAATGGTAGGACTGGCCCTGAATGAATCACATGTGTTCATTGATCCAATTTTTCTCCAGTTTCCATATATCAGGATAACTGGGAGTTTTATTTAATCTGGGAGCCCTCAGTGGACATGACATAACAAGGGGTGAGAGAGTCCTATTTAGATTTTTAGATGGAACTAATTTGCCTCAGTGTATGGCAGCTTCACTTCATTTAGCTCAGGTTTTGACATTTATTAAAGGAAGAAGGAAGGGACTTTGCTTATTAGAGCATAAGTTACTGCCTTTGTGATCTGCTAAAAGGCACTCACAGCCCCACTTTTCATCTCCATGTTTTCTCTTCATAGCTCTCGGCGAAGCCAAATTTATCTCATTTGAGGATCGCCAGTGGCACAGTGACTGCTTTAAGTGTGGGAAATGTTCCAGCTCACTGGTGGGAAAAGGATTCCTAACCCAGCAGGATGAGATCCTCTGCTGCAAGTGCGGGAGCACCGCATAGCTCACAAGACCTGAAAGCAAACCTTGTTAATTTCCGTGCGCTTTAAGTATCACATGCATAATTGCTCAGTGGTCAAAAATCTGTCTAACAAGTATAATTATTGTTCATGTGTGCAAAATGCTTCCTGACAGACTTTCTGACACAGCTGGCAGACGTCCCTTTCATCCTGTATAACCACTTTAAATAACAGGGTTTCTGCTAGGAAACAGTTATAAAGATATATTAACCTGAAAGCATGTTTGGTTGTTTAACTGATTGGTTGGGTGGATGGTTCCTTGTAGTAGAGTGCACTCTACTGTTGGGAGTGCAAGAGTGTGCAAGCTTGCAACACAAACCAATACTGTGCTCAAATTCTAATAAAAAGAACATACATGACAGCTCTGTTTAAGAAACACCAAAATGAGATTTTTCCGACAGCACAGTGTTTATCACTGTCTGCGACCCTTTCTAGGCATATGTAGGTCAGCAACGAAGGGTGCTGTCAAACAGTAACAAAGTTGTGTGAGGAAAGTAATGGGGATGTTCTGTTTTATTTTGCTGCTCCTAGAGGTGCTTTTCCATCTTATATTACAAAAATGCCGCACTAAACATGACATTGGAGCTCCTGGTGTTTTTGAATTTGTGTTCAAAAAGTCACATTGGCTGCCTTGATTTGGATGAGAAATATATGGAGATTTAACCATTCTCCCCATGCTGATTCCTTAACACAGATCTTGTAGGTACCCATATGGAGTACAGGAATTTTGCTGTCAGAGTCAAAGAACAAGATGGTACCTCTCTTCCCATTCCATGTGCAGAAATCACCTAATTGGTCTAGCTCATAAATCTTACTTCAACACTGCTGACATGATAATGACCACCAGCATCAGCCAAGTTTAGGGGAACCAGAACATACACAGCTCTGTCCTCCAACAGAGAAGAATAGCAGTCTAGGAAGGACAACCAAGTGGATGTCACAGCTGCTCCCATGTACACTTGCCTAAGAGTAGGGCCGGCCCTGGCAGTTGAAGTAGAAGCAGGTCTCTCTACATGTTTCTCAGTGTGAAGCACAGGAAAGGTCTCTGCTTTCCATAAATGGCAACACATTTGACATGTGGGTTTGAAGGGAAGGGAGTTGGAGAAAGCATTATAGTACTGTACATTCCTATGCAGAGCCCGATTCACAGCCTACTCTCAGCATGCTGAAGGGCTGGGTTGTATGCCCTTTCTACAACAGGTGGAAGCCATGTGGAAGCACCCTAGGTCTTTTGCTGCAGTTAGTATTGTAGATATTGATACTGTGCAGCATGAAGCAACTGGATGCATAAAAACTGATTCCTTTTGGAATAAAACATTGTCCAGACCCATGAGATATTATCCAAAGCTTTACTTGCAGAACTCCTTCAAGCGGGCTGTGCCTGCAAGGTTTGTTTGTGCCAGCATTGGCATCCTTGTGTCCCTGGAGGTGGAGGTGATGCCAGTTCTAGTTCAGCTTCCAGTTCACTCTCAGTTGCCTCCCCCAAAGGAAGACGCTCCTCCCTGGCAGGAAGAGGCAGCTCCCCAGCACCAGGTGTTGGGGTGACTAGGGGTGCTGGATATCACTGGGGCGGCAGACTCCACTGCCAACCCAGTTTGCCCCACCCCTGAATCTAGCTCTCTAGTCCTGGGCTTGGACATTTCTTGGAGTCCCAATTTCATCTTCCCCATCCTGATAGGACCTTCCTCAGGATCATCCAGCTCCAGCTCCCTCAGCTCCTCCCATTGCTCCTCAGGATCCAACCATCCCTTCTATGACATCTCCATAGGCCTCATGCCAGTCACTGTCAACCAGTATTGACAACACTGAGCTAGATAAACCAATAATATGATTCAGTATAACACTGCTTTCAATGTTCCTGTGTTCCTGAGAGCAAGATGTGCTGGCATCAAAAGGTCAGGGTTGCTCAGCCCACTCATATGACCAGCATTATTTTTCTTAGCTGTATGTAGCAGAATTCCAGCTCCATCAATAGTGCTGCTTCTTCCCCTTTGTCGCTTCCAAAGCCACTCATCTCTGCATTCTCCCCCACTTGACTTCTCCTGCCTGCTTTTCATTTCTCTTACATTCTGCACCTTCCTCTTTACAAGGCTAAAGTTGTCAAAAATAGAACTAGGTTGCGAGGCCTAAAAATAAAAATCCCAAATAGAGGCGCATATGTGCAAGGATTTTTCAGAAATGAATGCTCCGTTAAATGCCAGGCGGTTTGAACTATCTTAAAATAAAAATTAGAGCTAATCTGAAGTGCTTGTTTTGTATCACTTCTCACCGAAGCTTCTGGGAGGGTGAAAAGCAGACTTGTAGAACATCTATGAAAGTGAAGCCAATTTGATGTTTTTTCTCAGATTCTTAAGGAGGTTCCAGTTAAGTACCAAAACCATGCATCTCTGTTCTAGGTGACAAAATATAGAGGGAAGGCATAAGCTTGCGCATTCTGGATCAGAGGTTTTGATTTTAACAGGTGCTAGTAGATATATTTATGTATAATTGAACTGACTCTGGTGTGCATCTGTAATCCTGCCCACAGGCACAATTTCAAGGTGGGTGGTGTGGTGGTGGCAGCGGTGGCATGATGGGGGTGAGTGTCCTGGATAGAAAAAGTTGGAGCATCTGGGACTAGCCTCTTCTTTTCCTATTATTTCATCTGTTGAGTTCCATAAAATGTAAATAATAGGTGGCATTATCACTTAGTCTCTTTTTGGAAACCTAGCTTATTTTTCAATGATTTATAAGCCACCTGACACAATGGGTGTCATCAGGATAGGACTTTGAGGCAGGCGCCCAGGGCCCTATTCAGCAGAAGGAGCTGGTGAACTTCCAAATGCGGCAGGGCGACCTTTCCAAATGTTGAAGGAAGTCAAGTGAATGCACGTTATCTTTTAAACTGGGGAGAGGAGTCCTAGGCTTACACCCAGAATTCAAATTGGCCCGACTGCAACACTGACCCTACAACAATAGTTCTCTGGTCAGCATATAGGATCAAGCACCAGCAAGGCCCATTGCTGAATGATAGGGCATCTGTTTTGCATGCATAAGGTCTCAAGCACAATCTCTCTCTCTCTCTCTCTCTCTCTCTCTCTCTTTCTCCAGTGGCTTCCCACTGGAGTAGGGATAGCACAAGCCCTGTGAGAGCCCAGAGACCAGCAGAAGGGGCAGAGAGAACAGGCCCTTAATAAATCTGTTCTTTAATGTGTTTTAATGCCATTGCAACAAATGGACTGTGGTATACATAACTGGGCACAGAAGTGCACTCTTCAGATTCTGCCTTTCAGCCACTAGGTGGCGCAACATCGCTGCTGTCCAGGTCTGGAGAGTCCTTAATATCTGATTTCATCAGTGTTGTATCAGAAGGAAGCTGATAGGAGAAAGGAAACAAAAAAAAGAAAATTCACTTCATAGAGGAATAAATAGGCACAGTGTTGACTTCAGCACTGCTAATATTGATTTATGCCAGCTGTGCAACTGGCCTGATGACGTTATTTGAAAAAAATCCAACCAGCGTGTTTCAATATTATGCAATTTATCACATGGATTGAAGAGCATCCCTCATAATTCATCTGCTGCTAATACAGCGTGACTGGGTACTATGGAAACTGATACACAAAACTCTTGAAAGTGTATCTGATTCTATCAGGGATCATACTGTCATCTCGGCAGGTATTTAAAATGGATGCACAGTCCTTATCTGTTTTCCGCACCCATGGCAGGATACATTCAGGTGGAAAGTATTGGTGTGATCTGGGGAGCCTCATTCACACAACAAACAGGGAGCACCCAACAAGCAGAGGAGGGGTGATTGGCAGCTCAGTGGCAGACCCACCTTCCTCCAAGGGTCTCCATGCATTCAACAAAAAAATCTGTACAGGATTGACAAATATAAGCTTTGTATTCATGATCAGGGTGATTGAGAAAGATCCTACATCTGGTCAAGTTGTATGTGCAGAGTCTCTTGCAAATCTTGGTGTGAATGTGCAGAGGTCACACGCAACATCATTTAAATAAAACAAATGAAATCCAAAGAGAAAAGAAACTGATAATTCACTAGTTAAAGTTAACAAAAAAACATCACATAATATGACAATATACAAGCAGAGGGCTTCTGTCTTTCCTTCAGGCCGTGTTAATTGCAAGAAGACATTCAGCAACTAAGCAAACCAGGAAAAACACCCTCGGAACTAAACAGCCAGCCAGAACTCATTGCCTCAGCAAGGATCATGCCAATCTGACTGGTTGCCAGGCAGCAACACCATCATCTTCTTGTTGGAGGTCAACAGAATTAACCCTTAAGTTACCTAACTGAATGATTCCTGCTGTTGTGCTTCCAAATGACCCTCCTACCACAACCCTTTCCCCATGCATTCCATGTACCGTAGGGTAGAACTGCCAATGCAAAGTTGGAACAAAGTGGGAGCAAAGCAAATGCTTTCCTGGTTCAGACCAATAGTCCACCAGGAATAACAACCTGTTTCCAGTTGTGGCTGGCTGCTTCTGATGAGGCTTGAATTTAGGGACCAACAATTCCCTAAACCAATTCAAAAACTGGAAAACAGCAATGCAATTCCTTTGAACAACAAATATGCTTGATAGTTTGACAGCACACAAGAAGAACCACAGTTAACAGAAGCTAGATGAAATCAATATCAACAAATTTTTGCAATGTGGGTTTCCCACTGCACTCAAGGGCCTTGAACTTGTTTATTCTTAAGCATTTGTATATGGTAGAGGTACTATTTACATGCCCTAATTAGTTGAGGAAGAAAATGTTTAAGGCAGTCCTTCCTCCTAGAAAACGAAGCTTTTGTTTTTCAATCGCAAGCATCTTAAACTTCAGAAACAATCTCTTTCCTTCAGAGTCCTCAAAAAGGCCTTTTCATGGAGGTTATGCAGTAAGTGAATATATGGGTTCATATTTCTTCGATTTAAAAACTTGAAGCAATTGTCAGAACTAGATGTTTATTTCTTCACTTTGAGAATCCTGAAGGATAACTATATTTTCCCCTGGGGTGTGTTTGTGTGTGTGTTTTAAAGGAATCCTGCCAATGGTTTCCTCCCCACATCTTAGAACACAGTCACTCCAAATGCCCTTGGCCTAATTTGATCTCCTTTACCTGCTATGCTTTGTAACAGAAGTATGATTATGCATCATAGGGATGTCAGCATTTCAGCATCACTAGGCTCTAGTATTAATAAATATGTTCATATTATGACAGAAAAAGGTGATATAAAATCTAAACAGCTTTATTGTATGTTCAATTTCTATAACAAAAGAAATAAAAACAACAGCTTTTTGCACTTCCAGAGAAGTATGTACGTTGTTACACATTTTGTAAGATGTTACAAAAATATGTAAGATGTTAGACATTTTGTCAGAAAGAGCTCTTTTAAAAAGTGGATAAACATCACATTAAAATACTTTGATTCAGAGTCAGTGATGATGTCAGGAGGGTAAAATGCTCCTATTATTCCCATCTCTATCTCTCCCATTAAATATTTGTTTTTGATTTTTCTTTCATCAAGAAAAATCCCTCTTCAACAGATATCTCTCCCCCTCCCCCCCTCCTTTCCTTTTCAATTTTGTGGCATGTTTTTCTTTCCCCTCACAAAGTTAATCAGGTATGTGTTTTCTTCCAGAACTGCATTTAAGCACCTGCTTATCTTATTGAAAATATTTACATATTGGTCCCTTCAACAAAGCTGCATGCTACTGTTACCTAATTTTGGGATAACTGGGCAGGACTTGGCTTTGGGCAAAGGGCAAAGGGATTTAAGAATGATGATGATGAGGAGGAGTTTGTTGCTAGGAATGGGGGGGGTTGGTTTGCATTTAGTATGTAACTCCCTAATTCTCACTTTCTGAAACAATACACAAACTGAAAGACAGCTGTCCTTTGAATAGTGTTGTTTTTCTCTGAATTTTGTGTTGCAGTTCTCCCATCCAATAATATGCAAAGAAACCTTATAAAAATGTGCACTAAAATGCTTGCATTGGTGAAAATAGCATACAAAAATACATTATATCATGAGAAATTGCTTGCAAAAATGTGTATATTGGGGAAAAGCATACATAAAAATATGTATATCAAGAGAGAGAGAGAGAGAGAGAGAGAGAGAGAGAGAGAGAACTTTATTCACATTAGTCAATGGCAACAGTAAAACATTACAGTACACGCAGAAAAGAAAATTTGATATAAAAGCACAATTTAAAGTCCTGAATCAGCAGTCAGTTAGTGGCCCTTATTCTGATTGCCCCTGCTATGAACCTAGCAACCTTTGCTACTATCTGCTCATTTTGATCTGATAGAAGAAAGGACATTGTGGCAGTGGTTGAGTGCCCTGGGATGGTTAGTACGAGTGGGGTGATGATCTCGTTCCTCAGGTCTTTGTAGAGAGTACAGGACAGGAGGACGTGTGCCGCTGTTTTGGTGCTACCATCTCCACAGGGAGAAAGACATTTTTCAGGCTGGATCATTTGGAATCGACCCTCAAGTACCGCACATGGCAAAACATCCAGTCTTGTAAGTGTAAAAGCATGTCTGTATTTTGGGATAACAAGTTTGTGCAGATATGGGGCCAGAGAATCAAAATGGAGAGGTGGAAACTAAACATACCAAGGGCTGAATTTCCCTATGGTGGCCAGTTTGTTCTGATGCTCAATATCTTTTAGATGTTGACCAGTTAGACTGTTTGCTTTAGTGGGGCCCATATTGAGTAGGTGTTGTGGGGATAGGCCACAAGAGTGAAGTTTTTTATAGATGGTTTTAAGCCAGACACTTTTATGGCACCATTTGTGCCTCAAGTGAGGCTACCACATTATTACTACAGTACTTCCTCTCTATACTCCATTGCTCCTTCCAAGATTGGCTGCTAATTCTCACCTTCTTTTAATAGATGGCGAATTAAGATTGGCAGGTAGCTTTTGAAACAATTACTGCTGATTTAGACTGTTACATCATTCTATAAGTCAAAGAAGGCTTACTCAGCCTCACAATAATTTACTGATGCATCACTTCTTCCTGTTTTGTTGAGGGCAACCAAGCAGCCTGTTCAAAATGGATGCTTGAACTGGATGGGATGTGGTGCAAAAGGACTAGCTTTTGCTTTGTATTGGTGAAGTCAAAAGGTGGTCCTGCCGTCCATTTGCACAGGAATGTGGCATAAGAAGGAACCGGGAGTCTATCTTAAAATAATAGCCTGTTGTCAACACAGAACTCCTAAGATATATACAAGACAAGCATATCAGGGCTAATGCTTCCATAGGACAAATGGAAGAAAATTGCCTTATGTGGATTAATGCCCCTGCTCATTTGCCTTACCAGAGAGATCACTCACCAGGTGTTTCCCCAAGCCTCACTCTGAGGAAGTGGGTGTTCAGAGTGATGCGATCCCTTCAAAATATGATTTCATGGCATCTTTTTCCTGTTTCCTTCATTGCACAAAGTAACTTAAGTGTGTTTTTTATACCTATTTATATATTTTTGATTTTTTAAAAATTGTATTCATTTCATTTCATTTACCTGACTTTTTCATTTTACTTTTACCTTGTCAAGAGCTCCTTATTGCTGAACATATATTATTTTGTGGTTGCTTTTCTCCTTTTGTGTATTTTCTCTTTTTGTTGTTTAATATGATAAAAGAGTGACACAGTCTGGTTGAAGTGCAATGGGAGTGTGCCTATGCTGCTACCACAGATAGAAATACTATCTTTACATTTAGTTAAAAAGGAAGTTAAAATAACTTTTAGCTAATTTTCAAAGAGGATTTCTAGCTGCCATGGAAAAGTGGCTAATGCCCTCTGGCATCGAAATTTTAGCATCAAAGAATGCAAATGGCCCATCCAAGTGTCCTTACAACTTGCTCATTTCAACTTGCTCATTTCAACAGCAATTTTATAATCTAAGGAACTCCTTCGTGGTTGGGAGAATTTATTCGGCGCAAAAATGGAAGAAACTACAGGACTTAAACCTCTGGAAACATATATTTAGGATAGTATTCAATATGCATCCTATTCAGAGTAAGGTAAAGGACCCCTGACCATTAGGTCCAGTTGTGGCCGACTCTGAGGTTGCAGCGCTCATCTTGCTTTATTGGCCGAGGGAGCCGGCGTTCAGCTTCCGGGTCATGTGGCCAGCATGACTAAGCCGCTTCTGGCGAACCAGAGCAGCGCACGGAAACGCCGTTTACCTTCCCACCAGAGTGGTACCTATTTATCTACTTGTACTTTGACGTGCTTTTGAACTGCTAGGTTGGCAGGAGCAGGGACCGAGCAACGGGAGCTCACCCTGTCGCGGGGATTCGAACTGCCAACCTTCTGATCGGCAAGTCCTAGGCTCTGTGGTTTAACCCACAACACCACCCGCGTCCCCTATTCAGAGTTGATCCATTGGAATTAATAGACATGAGTAACTTGTTTCTATTAATTTCAGTGGGAGCACGCTGCATAAGATTTAGTTGGACACAACCCCATATTTCTTCTCATGTACAACAGAATCAGTGAGAATAGGGTTAAAGAATGTACCCACTGGTGATGGATTTTCTTTCTTTCTTTATTCCTTTCCTTATACAGTATTATTCAGTGATTCTTCCTCCATTTATATCCTTTTCTACAATACGATCTAAAGGTCTCAGAAGATTTAGTTTTCCAAGCAGTTTGCCATTTTTGAATTCCCTGTAGGAAGCAGTGAATGTAACCATCTGATTTAGCCATCTGTAAAATGATTTAATGACATTGGATGGGTGAATGAGATAATTAAGCTCTCTTGTTTGAAGGAAAGAAAGCAAGGCTCATCTGTGGGCTATCTGAAGGGTTGTTTGGAGATATTTTTATCTTCTACAGAGATGACCACGGCACCTCACTGACTAGTCCAGGATCCAAAAGTGGCACAACAGGAGAGCTTCCATGTTCACAGGGGGCTATGCCATCCATTTTGTCCCTTTTAAACACATCTCCTTGAATGGTATTGATTGCTGCTCTGGAGGGTTCTTCGAAAAGAGCCATTCATGATGTTCAAAAGGCTGCAGCAAAGGGGTGTGGGCACCTAGAGCTCTAAGTACAGACAACCATAGTATTTAATGACTGTGGGGACATTTCAGTTAAAAATAACACTTTTAAAGGTGTCAGTGGTCCAGATTACAAGAGCACAGTGCATTTCACATACTGCAGCACCGAAGTGAGAGGAAACTGGAATCTATTTCTATCTTCACACTGCATTTAATCTGCATCTGTGCCTGACTATAGCAAAATCATATTTCCTCCCCAGTCATTTTCAGTGTTAAGAACATAACAATATAAGAAGAAGAGCCCTGCTGGGTCAGACCAAAGACCTCACTAGTAACAACATTCTGTTTTCGCTCTGCCTCGCCATATGCCTTGCTTCAGAGGATGCATATGGACAAACCAAGTTTATCAGCAAAGTGAGAAACATTCAGTTCTCATTTCATTAGGTTTAAGTTAGGTGGAACCTCATTCCTGAAAATGAGCCCAAATTGAGAATATGACCTAGGAATTTGTTTTCAGCACCAGAACAAAACTGAGCTCAAAGTCATTTCGCACAAAGAGTCCACTCCTGATTATCTTTCTGTATTTCAGCAGCTTAATTTAAGAATAAAGCGTCATCTTAATGTTATTGTTGTTAAACAGTTGTGAGCTAGAAACTCTTGCAAATCATCCAGAGACGTACCAGTACATCATGAGGTGTCTTCTGCCCTAAACCATATTTTAAAGTAGGGGTAGTCAACAGAGTGCCCTTCTGAATTACAGTTTTCATCATCATCGATGGTTGGCCATGATGGTTGGCTAGGGCTGATGGAAATGGGAGTTCAGCAACACCTGGAGGGCAAATGGGCTACCCCTGAATGTAGCATTATGTGCACAAGCCTACTCCTCCCTTCCTTCTCATCCTGTTCATGTGAGTGGGAGCATGTTTCCTTTTTCAACTAACCACAGTTTATCATTTCATCCAAACCAGGAACTGTGGTTAGTTTTAACTATGACTTATCTGAACAAAGCCAAAATCAGAAATCATAATTTGATCTTAGTTTGTTTAGACAAACTAAATTCTCCCACTTTGGGAAAAACAGCAAACTGCAGTTAGTTGAAAAGGGAAATAAATGTTTCTGATGTCCTCACAAGTGCACTCGAGGAGAAGGGAAGGGAAGCTCATGAGCCCAAGGGTCTTTCTAGTAGCCCTAAGCTACGGCTTAATGTTACATCTCAACACACTGCCTATGTGACATTATAGATTGTCTCCAGGAGTAAAACATTAGCAAAATGGATTTTTATCTACTGTCTAGAATGCTGAGAGGCAGACAGAGAACTGCTTTTAAATGCAAAATAATGTCTATATTCCACTTTGTGAGGCACAATAAACCGTGTTAATATTGATTGTACAGCAACAACTACTGTGACAAGCTCCCGCCATGAAACACCTGTGGTCAAAAATTAGATTTAATGTTGTGAAAGGCAAGGTTGCCAGACTGTAATAGAGAAGCACTCTGGAGCTACAGCACTGCTTTATTTCAAACAATGCCATTTTTCTTGGGCTCTCTGTGTTCTTGCTGCTGACAGCCGAATGACAGGTAACATGGAGTTGCACCTGTTAAATTTCTACATTTTATGCAGCTGTTAGTCATAATCATAGTCCTGGTCAATTTATTTATACGCCATATTTTCCACAATGGCACCTGTGCTCAAAGCAGTTCACATTTTAAAAAAAGTATTTAATATTGGTACAATAACAGCACAGAATGGCGAACTTCCGGGTTGACGCGATCTGGAAATGGCGGATTCCCTCCGAGCTCCGGAGGGAATCGGCTCCACTGAGGATGGGTCTTTGCCGCGCCGGCGACGCGGGGACCCTTAAAACCGCAGGCGCTGAAGCCTGCGGACTGAAGACTCGGCGGGTGCCTTAAGCGCCCCCCCTGATTCGCAAAGAGCCTTTTTAAAGGCTGCGGAGGGGATACGGGGGTGGCGTGGCACTGAGAGTCGATCGCTACCTCGGTGGAGCGAAGCCGCGAGCCATGACCGGAGAGCGTTGACTTCCTTCCTTGAAAATTTGGACTGAAAGAATCACCCGTGAGTAAGACGGATTGGGACTTTTGAAAAACTTTACCTTTAATTGGAGACGACCGGGGGGTGTGCTAAAAGGAAGTCCGCACCCCCCCCTTGCAGACCATCTAAGCAACGACACAAGAGATAAGCTGGAGAGCCTACCCTTGGTGGGGTGAGTTAAAAAGGACACTAACTTTCAAGATTTTACTAAAGGAAAATTTTGTGCAGGAGAGTGGAGTTTTGGAAACCTTCCTTCTGTTTTAAACAACCCCCCCTCCCGGGCTCGGGAACGTCCTGCCTTCGTGCCTGCGTTAGAGCTGCGGAGTTTGACAGCTGTCAAAGCTGCCAAACGGGCGGTTTAAAGTGAGAAATTGCCATTTAAGATTTTTATGGACTAAGACGAGTTATAATTGAGCTGAAACTGTTGGAAACAAAGTAATAATAATCAGTTTAAGGATTGTTGGTGAAAAGGCAAATAAGTAACCAGATTCCCCCTAGGGGGAACTCTGTGAAACTACAATGGATACAATGGCTGTGGAAGGAAAGTTACTAGTGGAAATCGAAAGGATGTTTCAATTGGTGGGAATCTTACAGGAGCAGAGTTTGGCCATGAACAAACAACTTGAGACTATGACCTTGGGAACAGGCAACTCTGCTCTTTGTATTGAGGACCTCAATGAGAAAGAATCCACAGCTGATTGGGAAACAATATCTACAGAGCTGGAAGAGACTAAACAACAAGAAAAAGAAGAAGTAATCCTGGGAAGTAACAACCAAAAGTTGACATCTGTGGAATACAAGCAAGGAGACGCTGGGAACATATTCACCACAAGTCTGCGAGAGATACAGAAGAAGAAGGAGGAGGCCCCAAGACAAAATGGAGTACAGGAATTTAAAATAAAGAAATATGATTGGGGCCTCCGTATGGACTTAGACTTGGAAGAGATAGACTTTGTGGAAATACTTCAGCAGCCACCTTTGAATCTTCTTGTTGGAGGAGGACATATTTTGATGGTGAAAGAACTTTTCCCAGATCTGACGACTGCTGTAAAGGACTACCAACAGGACAGGCGGAGAGGAACGGAAATAGATTTGAAAGCCTCGGACGTGAGGAACCCAGGCTGAGAACTTCGAATTTGGATTTTTATTGGGAAGGGACAAAAACCGGGGATGGGAGGGAGGGAAGAAGAGACTCTTAAAAACTCTTAAGACTTTTAGGTTTGGTTAAGATGACTCTTAATTAAGATAAAATGAAAATCGATGGAAGAGAACTTAAGTCCAACTTATGAAAACTAATTTTTATTATAAAAAAAAGGAAATAAGATGAATAAGATTGTTAAGAGGAGAAATATCAACTTGCTGACATAATCTTGAAACAGGGATGCATTAGGGGGGGTGGGGGGAAGTCAGGGAACAAGGTTATGAAATGGGGATTTGCTGACTTTATACATGTTTTTGTCTTTGTTTTTTCTTTGTGTATGTTTTGTCTTTATAAAAGCAGAAAACCAAATAAAAATTTTATTAAAAAAAAAAAAAAAATAACAGCACAGAATGAAAAAGCATACTGTCACTAAAACTCAACACTAAAAGAAATCAACAAGTAACCATTCATTTAGCATACATCAACATTCAAATGAGAATAAATCTAAGGGCAAGAGAGTAGAGTACTGCTTGATGGTGCAAATGCAGCTGGTGCTGCCATTGCTAAACTGCAAGCCCCACATGAAAATAATGTGCTCTACTGCCATTCCCAGTCCTTGATAGGAAGTCATGACAATGTTTTCAAAAGTCTACCTTCTTGGGTACATTTCAAATGTCATGGGCCTCATAATCTCTGGATCGAGATGAAATGACATAGAATCTTATCATGTTGGCCCTATCAGCTAGCTTTCAACTGACTGCGTGATTTAGAGCTGAGTGAGAGAGTGTCCAAGCTTTGAACTGCATACACATTTCAGCATAAATCTTTACCATCTTGTGTAAGGTGAAGACAGGGGTCATTTCCAGGGGGGCAGCGGTAGTAGGTATGGCCACCACTCACTACGTGGGGAGACCTTGACGTTAGTCAACGAACTGGAGGGATGCACACAAGAGTCAAACCCAGGCAGCAGAAAACATCAGTGAAAGAAAACTGCAAAGAAATCAGGGTAGAAGAATGCAAAAGACATGAAAGCAAATACATTTCCATTTTCAGTTAACTTCCTTTATTCCCCCCCCCCAAGGTTAAGCTGCCAATTCTTTTTACAGAACCCTGCTCTTGTGCATTTAAGAGTAGCTTAAATGACAAAGAATTAGCTGGTGATCATAATTATCTCCATGCCATGAAACACTTCAAACTATGATTCTGGGGTCCCTTGGGCAAACCCCTCATCGCTCCTCCTCCTCTGCCTCATCATTGCTGCCACCTGATTGCTTGCCGGACAGAACCAATCAGTAATCAGTCAGCGACAGCTGCTCTCCCTCCTCCTCGCTGCCAATGTTCCTTGCTTGCTCACCTTCTCTTGGCCAGAGCCAGAAGCAAAGGACCAATCCAGCTGCAACTGTGAAAGGGAGGAAGAGATCCAGGACTCTCTTGACAGTATGCTCCCCCATGCTGGTCCTTGATGCTTCACCTGCTGCTCAAGTGGCTTTTAAAGGCACAAGAGAATAACAGGGTCCAGGTTCATCTTTTTCTCTTAGGCCACTGTCAACCCCATGCAATCTCTATCTGGAAATTCTAATGTCTATCTTCAATATCTACTTTTGTTCTGTTTCTTTTATGATGCTTCTTAAATTGAATATGACATTCCCATTACCAGAATCACACCAGTAATTTTGGTACAGAAAGTTTCGTCGCACCTTCCGTTTTTGCTGAACAGGGATTTACAAAGAATTTTAATAGGCCTATTTGTTGCCACCGTGGGTGTGAATATTCTCACCGTTGCAGATGTTGAGATGTGACCTGTAAACTAATTAATTCAGAGTGATAGCACAGTTGCTAAATCCACCTTGCTTTTAGCAGCCAAACCTGGACTGCAAATAGTTTTAAAGTACATGAAAGAAATGTATATAACGTTTTACCTTTTTCGTTCTTGTTTAAGCAGAATAAGCAGCTGGACCTCCAAGAATATTGCAGGATACCTCCAGCCCCTAAGAAGAGAGCAGTGCTCTTAAGGGGTTTTGAGGGAAGGGCACAGGGTTTTGAGGGAAGGGGGTCGCAGCACTTCTAGGGCACACCACTAGAACTTCCTCCACTTTGCTATGTAATTATAGAGTTATGTATGTTTCCATGTCTGTGGAATCCCAAGCTAAAACTACTAATTTATTTTGAGGTGGCCCCATTTTCACCTCCTGGCAAATAGAAGGGGAAGAAATGGAGAAATGGAGGCAGTGAGAGATTTTATTTTCTTGGGCTCCATGATCACTGCAGATGGTGACAGCAGTCACGAAATTAAAAGACGCCTGCTCCTTGGGAGAAAGGCGATGGCAAATCTAGACAACATCTTAAAAAGTAGAGACATCACCTTACCAACAAAGGTCCGTATAGTTAAAGCCATGGTTTTCCCAGTAGTGATGTATGGAAGTGAGAGCTGGACCATAAAGAAGGCTGATCGCCGAAGAATTGATGCTTTTGAATTATGGTGCTGGAGGAGACTCTTGAGAGTCCCATGGACTGCAAGAAGATCAAACGCATCCATTCTTAAGGAAATCAGACCTGAGTGCTCACTGGAAGGACAGATCGTGAAGCTGAGGCTCCAATACTTTGGCCACCTCATGAGAAGAGAAGACTCCCTGGAAAAGACCCTGATGTTGGGAAAGATGGAGGGCACAAGGAGAAGGGGACGACAGAGGATGAGATGGTTGGATAGTGTTCTCGAAGCTACAAACATGAGCCTGACCAAACTGCGGGAGGCGGTGGAAGACAGGAGTGCCTGGCGTGCTCTGGTCCATGGGGTCATGAAGAGTCGGACACGACTAAACGACTAAACAACAACAACATTTTCACTTCCAAGCTGAGCTGGATCAGACCAAAGGCCTAGTAGTCCAAAAACCTGTTTTCACTGCGGCCAACCAGATACCAAGGGGAAGCCCACAAGCAGCACCCACACTCTCCACACTTGCAACTCCCAGCAATTCTTATTCAGAGGCCTACTGCTCTAGCACGGGAGGTAGAACATAGTCCTCAAAGACCAGGGTTTGATTCTCCACGCAGCTATGAAGCTCACTGGGTGAGCTCACTCGTCTCTCAGCCTAACTTACTTTACAGGGTTATTATGAGGATAAGATGGGGAGGTGAACCATCTGCACCACCTGGAGGAAGGAAATAAATTAACTGAATAAATAGTCTCCATGAATTTGTCTACTCTGCTTTTAAACTGATAAGATGCTCAGTCACTTGAATTCACTATGAGAGGAATGATATGCTTGTTGGCACTGCATAAAGGTGTGCTGATCTGGACACCTCTGAAGATATCATCACCCTGTTTGACATGACTTCACCCACATTGATGTGATGGGTTGCAACTGTGCTAATTTGGGTGCCTTTCGAGATATTGCCAAACAACTTGGTATATAGGTTCCCAAGACGGAGGGGGTGATTTTTACCTACATTTGGATGCCATCGGATGCACTGAGGATCGGCATGCATGTGTACGGGAGCACACAGCCTCAAAACTCACAAATTACACTATCCATTAAAAAAACCCACAATATTTTTGGTTTCTTAGAATTCCCAGGCAGCACTGGGCACTTTTCAGTTTTATGAATATTTTTGCTGTGACTTTGTTTTTAATCACTGGTGTGGTTTTGTTTTCTCCCCTGCGCTGTACATGGTCCTAGGTTCTGCTAAAGAAAGTGTGATTCCTAAACAAAGTATTAAACAAACAATAAAAGGCAGGCCTGCATTAATTGGCCTTTGGTGATGACCCAATGAAAGGTTTGTGCAGAAGGGTTTGTGCTCTTAGGCTCACCATTACAAGTCCCCACAATTGTGAACTTCCGCACTGTCACTCTTTTAGATCCATCTCAGCCAACATCTGGTCTCCAGGGATCTACTGCCTATAGACATGGAAGTTCCATTTTCTGACCGTGCATGGCTGATAAGAGGGGCTTCCTTTAGCAAAGCTGGGGTGGAGCTGGTAGGAAGACATTTGAATAGGCAAAGAAAAGGTGGGGTAAGAAGGTGGGGTAAGGAGCAGCTTGACAGGTTGGGTGGAACTTGCAGTAGCCCCACTTCTGTTTCTATGCATGTTACATTTATCGGTGAGAACTAGGATAACCAACATGTTGCCCTCCAGGTGTTCTTGGGCCCAAATTCCCGTCAGTCCCTCTGTCCCAGCCAGGACAGTCAGTGATCGAGGTTGCGGGGAGTGATGGGAGTTGTAGTCCAACAACTTCCAGAGGACAATATATGGGCTACCACTGTTCTTAAGATACCAGCTTCCCCCACAAACAGCATCCACTCAAGAAGGTAAAAGTTTTGAGGTCTTTGTATGTTTACATGGATCCCAAGCAGAGGAAGGGAAGGTTGTCTCCATTCCTTTGACTATGCACTATGATAATGCAAAGCTCTTTTTGGGGGAGGGGTGATGAAATCTCTACCATCTATATGACTAATTTCCTAGGGAACTGAGGAAGAAGAAGAAGAGGAGGAGTTTGGATTTGATATCCTGCTTTATCACTACCCGAAGGAGTCTCAAAGCGGCTCACATTCTCCTTTCCCTTCCTCCCCCACAACAAACACTCTGTGAGGTGAGTGGGGCTGAGAGACTTCAGAGAAGTGTGACTGGCCCAAGGTCACCCAGCAGCTGCATGTGGAAGAGCAGGGAAGCAAACCTGGTTCACCAGATTACGAGACTACCGCTCTTAACCACTACACCACACTGGCTCTCAAGCAAGCAATGTTTGGGAGGCCATGTGTATTTAACTGGAATGCATCCCCCCCCTCCAAACTCTCTCTCTCTCTCTCTCTCTCTCTCTCTCTCTCTCTCTAACAACGTAGCCCCACAACTGATGAGTACTTAAAACACTGTCACTACAGGATGGTATGTGATCCAACTGGAAAAGCAAAGTAAATGCTGGTCCTTATTCTGCCTAATTAAAGTAAATTATTTACAGCAACTTGCTGTCAGATTAACACAGCTTCAGGCAAATGGCTGGAATTTATTTAAAGAGTTACTTTTTGTTGTTTATTTAAAATATACATTAGTTTGCACAAAGTCTTTGCTGCATCTGACAGCTTACAGCCTTGTTCCCATAAGAAGTGTCTTTATTGGCGGGGGGGGGAATCCAGTTTGTTATTGTTATTATTATTATTATGCTGCTATTGATGGAAATTCTTGTCAGTTTATAAAAGCCTATTTGATCCCAACTTTCTGAGACTTGACAAGAGATCCATAAACAATCCTCCCCAAAATGCATACAGAATCAAACATAAAATAAGATGTAGTTCACCTGATTTAAAAGCAGTTGCCATAAAATATTTGGTCAATTGTTTACTTCTGAAGTTTACTATCTAGAATAACTCCCATTCATCCTATTTTCTCTTTTTTACAGAAGTTATTCATTTGAATGATGAAAATCATCATGTCAGCTAAAGGGGAAAGGTTTTTCTTTTTTAGTAGACAAAAGCCCAGACTTGTGTTTGGCCCCGGTGTTCAATACTGTAAGTTGCTTGTGGATAGGGCTGGGAGAGAAATTTGATTTTGTTTGCATTTAATGGCAAACCTACCTAATTCACATTTTCTGAAGCAATACAAGAGTCAAAACAGAGACATCCTTTGCAGTATCCACTTCTTCAAGTTCTGGAGTGTAGTTCTGCAGCCACATGTACAAAAATGCATATACTAAATTAAAGTGTGCATAGAAATGCATTTATTAGTGACAATAACATTCCAAAATGCATTGTATTGGGGGAGAAATGCGTATATTAGGGAAATTGTATACAAACATTTCTGAAAAATGCTCAGAAAAATGTTGCTGAATTTTGTGAAAAAGGGTGGGACTGATGTGGAAATGAAAACTGAATGAAAATTTGTAAAAATGAGAAACAAAGGGAAATCCAAATTGACAGATTTCCCCATCCCAGCTGTAGATCAAAGATCAGGTGCAGTGACTGCCATACAGTTGTACAGCAGGTTGAATTTCAGAAGATGCAGTTTGTCATACATGTGTATGACAAGTTGGACATATTCTAATTTCCTCTTCCCCAGAGCTTCTAAAGACAGGGGAGCTCTTTGCTTGTTATCATCTTATGAAGTATAAAGCTAACATAATAAAGATTTAATATGAGAGGCAAAGGATCCATAAACATACCAATATTTTATGTAAATATGAGAATGCACAGCAGTTATCAACATGCATATAATGTAGCATTTCAGAGGAGCTACATGGGACTGCCTTGGCTCTACACAACCATATCATCACCTGGGTTGTGGCCCATGGCCAAAAAGGCCTAGCCGAGCTCTGCTCCAAACCAAAATTCTGTTAACGACGCCTCACAAACTGGAATGGTAGGCACATTACAGCTTCAAAGTACATCTTGCATCCTTACACATATTCTTCTCTTGAGTTTATTTCCAAACATCTAGTAGAATGCTTTCTGGCTTCCTACAAAAGCTTTGTTCGTGTAGCCTGAGCACTACCTTGAAACGCGTAATGAACAAAATGACAGCTGATTGTTCTGCAGAAAAGTAATTTTGTAAAAGAATGCTTACCTCAGAGGACTGTTCACACCTACCACACAGTGTAGGTCAGAAATAGCCAGATGAATAAAGCTGCTGCAAAAAGAAGAAATTAATCAAAGCAACATTATTTACTCCTCCTTTCAAAGAACAACTTTTAAATTGCTTAGGAACCAGTTTTCAAGCTAAATAATTGGAAATGGCCAGTTTTTCAATTCTGCCTTTCTCAGTGCTATTGCGTAGCTAGCATTTTACTTTATCTGCATTTTTAATCCTTTAATCTTTACCATTTTATGCTTGCTTGCTCATGAGATAGTTGAATTCACCATAACCATTTTAGTATGGTGAACTCACAGGGGCGAAGAGCTCGTTCATCTTACATTTTTGCAGATCTGTATCTACATTGTAAACACCCATTCTTCATTCACAGCATCTTTCCTGACTCTGAGATAGTACAGAAAACTTTTTTGGTTAATCAGTGCCCCTGAAGAAAAATCACCAACACAAAAAGTGTTGGGTTCAGTAAAGTACATATTTGTGTGCATTTGTGGTTCCCTCACTCATCTTTCTGTTGCCATCCTTTGCGCGAGCATCAAGGTAATTTTTTCCAGGAGCCTTGCAGCTGGCTATGAGCTAGAGGGAGGCAATAGAGTTGGCTCACAGAATTTCAGCAAGCACACAGGGATGCAGTCACACCAATCCTCCTTGCAAGCATTTGACCAGCTTTGTAAGCATGTTTGACTGAATGCTCATGACATCCCTAAGACATGCAGAAAATAAGAATCTACAGCTGTGAGCCTTTGCCTAGCTTCATTTTATAACTGGCAACATATTACATGAACTTTAAAACAGAGCCGCCCCTGTCACCCATATCAAGTTGCATGTAAGGTGCTCTGGGAACTTTATTGGCTGAAGAGCAGGACTAGAAATCCAGCACATAGCCATAGTTTCCCATTATGTGCAACCCTGGAAACTATGGTTAATAGCTTCAAAACAAACCAAGGATATTGCTCCATGGTCCAAAGTTAGCATGTTTGGAAGCCATTAGTTGCAGTTTCTGGGTTCACAAATGGGGAGCTGTGCTTAAGTGTTTGCTCAGTCACATGCGCAAAGGGGGGGGCCGAAATGGCTGCAAAGGCACTCCATGAACCTGCTTGATATCCTGGCTTGATAAATTAGCATTTGTGGCTTGGTACAGATGTGGCCTGTGTCTATTTCCCCTTGCAATTTTGCTGGTGACTACTATACAAGTAGTGGATGCTAGACTTAGCTTTTTTCTCTTCAGGCACGTCACTCTGTGAATCATCATGGCATTAACCTGCACCTAGATTGCTACAGCAACCAGAAGCGTGGTACAAATCAGGCTGTTCTACTTTCATAATGGTTTCATAACTGTGCCTTGGGAAATCTTTGTAAAGATGCTGAGCTGCGTGAGGGACTAGACCAGGGAAAGTCTTCTGGAAAATCACAAGCAGAGCTGCATGGATGTCATATGCAACTAAGCCTTCGTCATGTCTAGATGCCATAACCTAGCCAGAGCTGGACGAGACTGGGAAATGTGTATTGGTTCTGAGGAGCCAGAACCAAATGACTTTGTTCCCTAGCTTTGCTGGACTGGAGCAGACAAAGCTTGGCTGGAGTGGAGTGGACAATGAGAGCAAGAGGACAGCTCCCATTGGTCACTGAATGGGCTAATCGTGAGGAGGGTAGAGGGAATGATCAAATGGCTAAGCCAACAAAATGAGTTACTTGTTACCAAGCTGTATGAGCCAGAATGCATCATTCAACAGATTCAACAGATGAAATATTTTAACGTAGAAATCCAGAGCAGTCATTTTAAGGCTTGGCCAATGATGGTATGTCTGATGCAGTCTTCAAGGTCAATTCTGCAAATAACAGATTTCTACAAACACAATATTTATTTAGGGCAAATGAAACTTTAATAATTATAGTTTAATAAGTAAGAAGGTCCTCTGTCCAAGATGGTATAGCCTGGTTTTATTAGGCCTTCTATGCAACTTTATCTTTTATCTTTTTTATAAAAAAAATGCATTAAAATACAGTACAATAAAAGTAGGATATAAAGCAATACAAAATAGTGAGAAGGTACCAAAGATTTCAAAAGCATATCAAAGAACAAATACCAGTAATATGGTGTTGTTGTTGTTGTTTTAAAAAAGCTCATACTGGTTTAAAATTAACAAATGTTAAGATCTTGAAAGTCTGCTATTCATATAGCCACTAAGTAGATATAAAGAGATTCCAAATGTCATAAGGAAAATGATGCTTACATGCCTGGAAACTGAGTGGGAGGACTGTACAAATAAAAGCTAAGTATGTAATTAAAGTCTTAGCAACAATTTTCTCCTCAGCAGGTGGAAGCTGTATATTCATGTAAAGCTAACAATTCTGTAGTGTTTGTCACTGGCAAGCTTGGCTGGTGAAATGGTTAGCTGTTCTTGGGCCATGATCCTAAGCACATCACTGTATTGAAATCAATGGGCCTTCCTTCATAAGTAAATGTGTTCAGGACTTTCAGTTACAAACAGGAATGCTAGCCTGTTGCTGTTGTTGTTTCTTCAGTATGAAGTGCTGGATTTGATCTGCAAGTCCCATGCGCAGGTTGGTTGAACTGGTTAATTTAAGTACAATGCAAAGCAACCCTTAAAAGGCTTTGGGGTCTCCTACAAAGCTACAATATGCTATCAATTACCACAAACAATTTGCACAATACCTGCTCTCTCTTTGATAGCTTCCTCTCCCTCCTGCAGCAAGTGGTGTAGCAGAGTTGCATGAGTCATCTAGCCCTATTAAGTTGTTCAGTGCCTCCCGTTTACCTGCTGTCTGTTTTGGGTACACTGTGGTCTGGAAAGCTCACAAAGGAGACAAGCAGAGAGAGTTGTCTTTTGCTGGACTCAGTGGGGTTTGGTTCTTCAGCTCTAAAATGAGATGGGGTTTCTGACCCTCTGAAATGTCATACTATGAGAAAGCACA